ATAGTTAAATAGGGAAAATATTAATATTAAATTCAAATCTAAATCTTTTTGAAGAAAATATTTTATAGATATTATACAAGAAAGTTTCTGAATAATAAAAGTTGAATTTCTTTGGCGAACAATTTAAATGATTACAAGCAATAAAAATAAGAGTTGGTAGAATTAGTAAACATTTCTTAACCCTTATTAAATTACTTAGTTTTACTTGAAATAAAGCATTTGAGAGTTTAAATAAGATAGCTTTTGGCTTTATTTAATTTAACTGACCTATTATATTATTCATTGTCCTTTTGTTTAATCTAGCAACAATATGATGAAGGATAATTTTTGATAAAATTAACAATTTATTTGTAAAAGGATAAATTATCTTAGAAAAGCCAATATGCATAGATCTATTAAGCAATGAAAAAAGTTACAAACCCTTATAACTCACAAGGACATTTTTTATTAAAATCTTCCTAAGCAAACAGCTTGAAAAAGAAGTACTATTTATATGTCTTGTAATGCACTTTTTTGATGTAGCTGATGGAGAGGAAATATTTATTGTTTTAGAAGCAAATTAAATTATTTTGAGATTTAAATTAGAGCTATGTTATATAGAGAAAAATAAATTGTAGTTCTTTAGTTGTAATAATAATTAACTTGACTGTAAGTCCTGCTTGCAAATACGCTGGAACAACAAATAATAACAAATAATGTGTAGTATCAAATTTAAAAAAATAATAATTCGATGGTCATCTGGAAAAATAATTTGATCTTATTTGAAGAATCGGGATATTAAGATCATCAATTGAAAATTCGACAAGCTTTTTAAAAATCTCAGAGTCTAATACTTTAACTAATTAATAGACTGTATCTGTGTAGCCTAGAGAAGAACATAAAGCATCATTTTTTTGAAAAATTAATTGTTTTTAGATAAACACCTCAAAATAAATATTCATCATGCTCCATAGTCTTCATTTTACCATAAATTGGTACTAAGATAAGGCCTACAAGCTTTATGATGGAGTTATGTGAGTTAATAAGACAAATATTATGTATTTTTGCGGAAATTGGAAATGAGTGGATTGGCAACCCATTGATCTAGTAACAATTATAATAAATGGCGCATTATAATAAGATACGAATACTTAATTTTATCGTCATGGAATAAATGTGACTCTATGTTATTTGTTTGAACGAACTTTTACTGAGCCTACTAGTATTTTTATCTTCTATCCTGTATAATGTTTTTATTAAAGTTGCTTTATCACTACCTTTTTGTGCCTCATACAAAAACCAACAAAGGAGCGTATGATTCTGCTTCTTCATTAGTTTAATATTTTTTAGCATCAAAGTCTTTTTGTTATTTTTAACAAGGCTTAATTAAAGGGGTTTGTTTCACTTGTTCTACTATTTTTGACTTAAAATGACTAAATACCTTAGTTAACTAATTTTGATTACTTGTCGGTAATGCTTACTGTTGTTTAGGATAAATTAGAAACAGAATTCTAAACTTAATCTTAAGGCTTAGAGTATTATTAATTTTGATATGGATTATATGGGTATTAACAATACTAATTCTATATTATGTAAATTTTTAATACATATTATTAGTTAAGTCTGTTACTAATATTAATTATTTTAAGTCTATAACTAAGTCTAATTGTTATTTTATAAAGGAGCAATTGGTTCAACATTTTATTTAGGTTTAACAACATCTTCATCATCCTAAAATTCATAATTGTTGTTGTTACTATTCGATTTATTTTGATAACAATCCCAAATTATTGTTGTTATGGCTCATCTAATCTGTTTAGAAGAACATAATATTATAATTTTAGAATTAATCATTTTTTCTAAATACACCAATTTCTTATAAGGTCAGTATGCTTTTGTTAATATACATAAAAGATACTACTAAAGTTCTTGGTTTATAATTCAAAGTAAATATATCTAAATAACAACAATCAATATAAATTTGTAATTTTAGGATTACTTGAAATATAAATCTAATTAATAAGATTTATATGAAATTTAATTATTAGATCTTAACTTTTTTTGGGAGTTTAAATATAATTATCCCATTAATCAGTATAGAATTCAATCAAAGATTAATGGTTGGAATATTTAGATGCCATAAAAGAACAGTGAAAACATCAATTTCCATTTAATAAATTTGGTCATAGGTATATGAGCAGCTTTTTCAAACTCACTAACATTTTTTGCTTTTACTTCCTTAACTACACATCGATATTTGAGATGGCTTTTTTGGATAAATAACAATCAACATAAGCAACAGCCAAATAATATGTATCTCTTTTTATATGATAGACAGAACAAACATCAATCATCAAATCCATTAATATTGCTCGTACTTTTGAATTGATTTGAGTTTAAATTGTAACCATATAATCAGGATTAGGAAAGTATTCTATTTCTTGCAGCATAAGTGCTTAGAGAGTCTTAGATGAAAATCCACCAATTTAGGAATCTTTATCATTTTCATTTTAAATTAAAGTTTGATTTATTTAAAGTTTTTTGATATAGTAGAATTAGCATTATCACTTAATATGGTTATACTAGATTCATCACATTCTAAAGTGAATCCTAATTGTTTCTATTCACCTATAGAAATGCATCTAGTATTTTTCTTATGCTTTAATAAATTATTATTAGGACTTTATTTTTTAATTGTTCTTTCGCTCAATTAATTAGATGAGTTATCTTAGATTAAAAATTTATGAACATTTAATTTTTCAATTTTTCTATCTTCTCTTTATGAATTACAACTAAAGATATAAACAATTCAATTAATACTTTTCACAATTTGAATAGTAAGAATTAGATGTACAATTTAGAGCATTTTTATTTTAATGGATATTGGAAATCATAAAATATGCCCCCTGAATTACCTTAAACACATGACTATATTGTCTGTGATTTTTTTTGTATAAAGTCTTGTTATTACTATCTATGGTATTGTTTCTGGAGATATTTTATTAATTGAGAAAAGATTCAAAAGTAACTTATTAACTTTAATAGTCTTTTCTTTTCCATACTGCTAAATTTTTTAAATTTCTATCTTCATTCTATTTTAGTTTAAGTATGGTTGGTTTTAAACTAGGTTGAGCAACTTTTGTTAAAGTTGAATTAGATGTTTATTGGGGTACATTTATTTAATAAGGAATGCAACTGGATTACTTTTATTTCTTTTATATTTTATATCATCAGGTTTAGGATTGGACTTATATTAATATTAAAAAATACTTAGATCTAAATTTTATTATGCCATAATATGTATTATATATGTGGTATTTTGAGGTTATTAATAATTCTCATCAAATCTTAAAAAAGAAATATTCTAATGTGATTGTGTATTTTAAAATATTACGTTTCTGGTTAGTTAGATACATCTGTATATTATTGAGAATAACAGTTAAAATAGAATAATTGGATAAACATTTTGTGAATCTTTTAATTAATGGAAAATAAAGTTTGTAGATAAGTAAATATAGAATAAGATCAGAACCAGAATCAAAATCAAAATCAAGATACTTAGGAAGATTAGATAATGAAATTTTGGTTGAAATAAATTAACCATTAAGTGTAAATACTTTTAGTGTATAAATTGTGAAATATCCACATTTATCTACTATTCCAACTATTA